CACCCATCCATCTATCCACCCATCCATCTATCCAACCGTTCACCCATCCATTGATCCACCCGCCCACCCACCAATTTGCATGCATGTATGAATCCATCCATCCATCCATCCATCCATCCATCCATCCATCCATCCATCCATCCATTCATCCATCCATCCGATCGGTATCGTGCCGCCTTAGATAATTTCTCTTGGAAGTATTGCGATACGTATCAGGGGTATAAATTAACTTTTGAACAAGGGAGTCCAACCCTGCCCTCAAAAAGGAGTCCACAGCAAAATGAGGGAGTCTGTAGCTGAAGTTCAAAATTAAAGATTTGAAATTGAAGATTGAAAGATCTGAAAAAATACGGTAATAATTCCGCGAGGCCGTGCTCTGGAACGAATTAGTTAGTATAGCAGAATTTCAGGGGAGTCACACGGACTCCAGCATATGTCAAATCAGGGAGTCCGACATATAAATCAGGGAGTAGTTGACTCCGGACTCGCGTTAATTTCGCACCCTGCGTATCGTATCATGGTGTATGGTGCGTTACCTGTATCGTCTCCCGCACCCCTACGCAGTACGTGTTCAAGCACCCTCACCCGGCGAGGCCCGACAACATGCGCATCTACGAGTGTCACGTCGGCATCGCCTCGTCTGAGGGCAAGGTTGCTGACTACAAGAACTTCCAGCACAACGTCCTCCCTAAGATCAAGGAACTCGGTGAGTTGCCGTAGTTACCGTCATCACGGCAACACTGGCCCCACCCCGCGTGACTTAGTTTGGGGGGGGGGGGTCTAGTTGCTTAGATCTGACATCTGACATCTAGTTACCTGACATCTGATTGTCACAGTTGAATGACATCAACCGGAAAATCATTGAAGAATATTATTTCCGCTGCCTATATATATATATGAACAAGGAGTGAATAAAAAAAATGTACATTTTTATATAATAATATTTTGAAAAAATAAAAAAAATAAAATATATTATATGTGCCAGATCAAGATGCTCTGTTCTAGCCCTATTTTAACTTTGCGTGCATACGCCCATCAGTTTCCCATGTGAGGTAAATCGCTTCGTGTTGCCACAGGTTACAACACGATACAAATCATGGCCATCATGGAGCATGCCTACTATGCCAGCTTTGGCTACCAGATCACGGGATTCTACGCAGAGTCAAGGTAGCCACCCGGTTTCATACAATGTTAGCAGTGTTCGTGTGGGTTTTATAGAACCCGAAATGTCCCGGTCATGGAGTTTTTAAAATGCCATTTCTCTGGTCTGGTAAGTCATGGAAAATAGGCTATGGTCCTGGAAAGGTTGTTAAATTGGCTATTATTATTGCTTAGCCCAAAAAAAGTCCTTGAAATTGAGGTTGTCTCTTTTGTTTGTACATTTTTTTCCATGCAAGAAAGATGGTATTTGGCCCAATTCGTACAGCCGTGGAAAATGTACCTTTTAGGTAGTAAAAGTCCTGGGGCCCGTTGTCAGCAACAAAATTGGTCTTAACATTAGTCTTAACATTAACTTTTTCTCTTAGACCGTTGACAGAAACGCTGCGAAGTTACGAGAATGAAAAATCATAGCTGATTTCCTGATAACAATACGAAACAAAGTGATGTCGACGGTCTAGGAGAAATTGTTAATGTTAAGACTAATGTTAAGACTAATGTTAAGACTAATTTTGTTTCTGACAACGGGCGCCTGAATAATATATGTCTTGCAGTAGGGATGCGAACTCTGGTTAGGCTCCAGTAACGTTTGTTCCAGCATGAATTTTCAAATGTTTTATCATTCCAAATCAAGTTGTCACATATGTGGCCAGCGTTCTGATGTGAATTCCCACACACCTCTTTGTTTATGGATAAATTCATTTATTTCTTGTTGTATATATATGAACAAATTCTATTATTCATCACCTTTCACAGACAAATTGTATTATTTGTTTTTATTCACAGACAGATTCGATTACTCCCCGTCATTCGTGGATGAATGCTCTCACTCCCCCTCCCTCGTTCATGGACGAATTCAATTATTCGTCGTCATTCATCAATGAATTCTATTATTCCTCGTCATTTCTGGATGAATGCTCCCACTCCCCCTCCCTCGTTCATGGACGAATTCAATTATTCCTTGTCATTCGTGGATGAATTCTCTCACTGACCCTCCATCGTTCGTGGACGAATTTAATTATTCCTCATCTATCGTCAACAAATTCAATTATTGCTCGTCATTCATTGACAAAATCAAGTATTCCTTGTCATTCATTGACAAATTCTATTATTCCTCATTTGTGGATGAATGCTCTCACTCACCCCTCCCCCCTCATTCACGGACGAACCCTCGCGCGCCTCGATCATCAGCATGCATGCTCACTTGTTGCAGTCGCTTCAGCACGCACGCTCACTTGTTTCAGTCGCTTCGGCACGCCGGAGGAGCTGAAGGAGATGATCGACGCCGCTCACGGCATGGGCATCTTTGTCATGCTGGACATCGTGCACAGCCACGCGTCGAAGAACGTGCTCGACGGTCTCAACCAGTTCGACGGCTCCAACACGTGCTTCTTCCACGACGGGCCGCGCGGCGTGCACGACCTGTGGGACAGCCGCTGCTTCGATTACGCTCAGTACGTGCGTGCGTGTGTGTGTGTGTGCGTGCGTGCGTGCGTGCGTGCGTGCGTGCGTGCGTGTGTGTGTGCGTGCGTTTGTATTTGTGTGTGTGTGTTTACGTGCGTGTGTCTCACTGTGTGTGCGTGTGGTCATGCACATGCATGCATGCGTCCTTTTCCATGTGGGGTGTGTGTGTATGGATGTCCATGTATATCTGCGTGCGTGCGTTTACCTGCGTATGTACCTCTGTGTGACAACATGCATACCACCGCGCATTAGGGTATGAGTATTGTGGGAGTGCAGAAAAAATATTTGGGAGTGCAATTTTTTTTTATGTGTGTCTTTAGATCAATATTTTAGGCCGTGCTACACATTTTTGGCCGTGCAGTTTCAAAGCTGACCGTGCAAATCACGGCTGCACGGCTCGCTGGTGAATACGTTGCCGCGCATAGCTGACGCAGCTCTGTGTCTCCATAGGTGGGAAGTGATGAGGTTCTTGCTCTCCAACCTGCGCTGGTGGGTCGAGGAGTACTACTTTGACGGATTTCGTTTCGATGGTGTCACCTCCATGCTCTATCATTCTAAAGGTACGACGTAGCCTTCTATCCGTGTGTTCTTGGTGGTTGAACCGTGGTTCGCGTGCGTGCTGTGGAGACAGTAGAGTGGGCGGGCGTCCAGATGTGTCTTTGCTCTGCATCTAGGTTAGCTGAAGCTGTCTGGTTTGTCTCCCAGAGTGTGTGGCTGTCTCGGTAGTCTACGCCGATCGTAGTACTCTGTCTGCGACCTATTGTAACTGAGGCCTTTCTCTGTTGTTGTTGTTGTTTTTGCTTGTTGTTGTTGTTTTTCTTGTTGTCATTGTTGTTGTGGTTGTTGTTGTTGTTGTTGTTGATGCTGTTGTTGTTGTTATTGTTGATGCTGTTGTTGTTGTTGATGATGATGCTGTTGTTGTTGTTGTTGCTGTTGATGCTGTTGTTGTTGTTGTTGTTGTTGTTGTTGTTGATGTTGATGCTGTTGTTGTTGTTGTTGTTGTTGTTGTTGATGCTGTTGTTGTTGTTGTTGATGCTGTTGTTGTTGTTGTTGTTGTTGTTGTTGATGCTGTTGTTGTTCGCTCTGTAATCGCCGTCTCTCCATTATCACAGGCATCGCTCACGGATTCTCGGGGCACTACGACGAATACTTTGGCATGGTGACGGACACGGAGTCGGTGCTCTATATGTCCATTGCTAACTACATGCTGCACAAGTACTACCCGTTCATGGTCACCGTCGCAGAGGTACGTACACGGGAACGTGACTGCGACTGAAGCTCTACTGTCATGGTGAATTGGCGTTCGATCGTCGAGTGAAAATAAGATAATTTTGCGAAATTAAAATTTACAATTGGGATGAAGATTGAGTAGGAACCGATTGATTGGTATCACTCTATCTAAGATGGTTACTTTAGCTCTCCTCATCTGTTCCAATTACATGTAATACATGTATCAAGTAATAACGATTAGATTATGAAATACAATGTTTAGAATCATGTTAATTAACCCACTTATAT